ATTTGCTGGGTATTGTTTTATGCCTAACTGTGTGGTCAATTTTATAGTATGTGCCATGTACAGATGAGAAGAATGTATATTCTATTGTTTTGGGGTGGAGAGGTCTGTAGATGTCTGTTAGGTCCATTGATCAACTATTGAGTTCAGGTCCTGAATATCTTTGTCAGTTTTCTTCCATGATTGTCATCTAATACTGTCAGTGAGGTGTTATTTTCTCCCACTATTATTGTATGACCTCTTCCTAGGTCCTCTTATTGAATTGAGTCTTTTACCAATGTGCAATACACTTCTTTGCCTTTTTTGATCTTTGTTGGTTTAAAGATTGTTTTGTCTGAAAATAGAACAGAAATCCCTGCCTTTTTATGTATTTCATTTGCTTCATAGATTTTTTTTCTCTATCCCTTTACTTTGAGCCTATGTGTGTATTTGCATGTGAGACTTGTTTCTTGAAGATAGCATACCATTGGGCTGGGCATCTTTATTCAATGTACCACTCTGTGCCTTTTCATTGGGGCATTTAGACCATTTACATTCGAGGTTAGTAGTAGATTTGATCCCGACATCATATTGTTAGCTGGTTATTATGCAGACTTCGTTGTGTGGCTGCTTTATGGTGTCATTGATTTATGTATTTACATGTATTTTTGTAGTAACTGGTAATGATCTTTCCTTTCCATATTTAGTACTCCCTTCAGGACCTCTTGCAAGGTAAGTCTGGTGGTAATGAATTCCTTTAGCACTTGCTTGTCTGAAAAGGATCTTATTTCCCCTTTGCTTATGAAGTTTAGCTTGGCTGGATATGAAATTATTGGTTCAAAATTATTCAAAATTATTTTCTTTAAGAAAGCTAAATGTTGCCCCCCGCCCCAATCTCTTCTGGCTTGTAATGTTTCTGCTAACAGGTTTGCTGTTAGCCTGATAAGATTCCCTTTGTAGTTGACCTGCCCCTTCTGTTTTTTTCTTCTTCATTTCGACTTTGGAGAATCTTATGATTATGCGTCTTGAGGATGGTCTTCCTGTGTAGTATTTCGCAGGGGTTCTCTGCATTTTATAAATTTGAATGCTGTCCTCTCTAGCGTTTGGGGACATTTTCATGAATGATATCCTGAAATACGTTTGCCAAGTTGCTTGGTTTCTCTCTTTCTCTTTCAGAGATGTCAATGAGTCATAAATTTGGTTTCTTTACATAATCCTATATTTCTTGAAGGTTTTGTTGATTCTTCTTTTTTTATTTTCTTTATTTTTATATGAATGAGTTATTTTGGAAAGCCAGTCTTCAAGCTCTGAGACTGTTTTCTCATGTGATCAATTCTGCTGGTAATATTGCAATTTCACTGTGAAATTATTGTAGAAGGTTTTTCAGCTCTAGCAATTCAATTTCTTTCTTTCTTATAATGGCCACTTTGTCTATGAGCTCTTGTATTGTTTTATCGTAATCATTAGGTCTCTTGGATTGGGTTTTGACTGTCTCCTGTATGTTGATGATCTTTGTTCCTATCCGTATTCTGAATTATGTTTCTGATGTTTCAGCTGTTTTGGCTTGGCTAAGAATCATTGTTGAGGAACTAGTGTGACTGTTTAGAGATAAGAAGACACACTTTTTGAGTTACCAGAGTTCTTCTGCTGGGTCTTTCTCATTTGTGTGGGCTCATGTTCCTTTGGTCTTTGAGGTTGCTGTGCTTTGGATAGATTGTTTTGCTATTTTCTTCTTTGATGAACTTGGAGGTTTGATTACAGCACAAGATGGTTTTGATTGATGGACTCTGATTCTAGTCTACTCCTGGGTCTTCGGGGTGCTCCTTATGATCACTTTCTCCATGCCTGTGTTTCTTTTGTTGGGTGTTCTGGTCCATAGGGCTCCCTCAGTCAGGGCCCACAGCTGGCAGACAAGCTGTATCCTTGCCAGGTCAGTCCTAATCTGCTGCCCCTGTGCTTCCTGGGGAAACACAGAGTTACACCTTCCAGCAGAGTTCAAGCGGAAGTGGAACCACTGGGCTAGAAGCCCTAGTGAATGTGGCCCATCTGCCTATGACAGGCAGGAGTGGATGGACTTGCCCACCCTGCCATTCAGGTGTTTCCAGGGTGACAGGGGTCTGTGCCTCTCGACAAACTTAGGAAGAAGCAGGACTGTTGGGCTGGAAGCTATAGCAAGTGTGGTTTGCCTGGCTACCAACCAGAAATGACTGCTCTGCCTTCTGGGTGCTTCCTGGGACAACAGAAAGCTGTCACTGCAAGATGAGTTCTCACAGAAGTAAGACCACTGGACTGGAAGCTTTAGTAGGTATTACCTGCCTGGCTACCGGTGGTAGGGGCGGGTGGAGTCACACACTCTGCCCACCATGTGCTTCCAGGGGCAACAGAAAAGCTGCATCCACTGGCTGAGTTCACACAGAAGCAGCAGCACTGGGCCAGAAGCTCTAGCAGGTGTTGCCAGTCTGACTACCAATGGCCAGGGTAGGCAGGTCACATGCCCTGCTCTCCAGGTTATTCCTGGAACAACAGAAGACTGTGACCTCCAGCTGAGTTCATACAGAAGGGTGACCACTGGGCTGGAAGCTACAGGCAGCATTTCCCACCTGGCTACCAGTTGCAGGCGTGGGTGGGGTTGCATGCTCTGCCATCTGGGTGTTTCCTGGGATGATAGGAACCTGTGCCCAATAGCTGAGTTCACACAGAAGTTGGGCTGGCTGTTGGGCCAGAAGCTCTAGCAGGCATTGTCCACCTGGTTACTTGTGGTGGGGGAAGTTGGGGTCACACAGCATGCCATCCAGGTGTTTCTGGGGACAAGATAAAACTGCACCCTCCAGCTGAGTTCACACGGAAGTGGGACCGCTGGGCCAGCAGCTCTACCAAGCATTGCCTTCCTGGCTATGAGTGTTGGGAGTGTGTGGGGTCATGCACCCTGTCATCTGAGTGTTTCCTGGGAAAACGTGAGGCTGCACTCTCCAGGTCAGTTCACACAAAAGCAGGACCACTGGGCAGAAGCTGGCACCAAGCCCTGTCTGGTAAGGAGGGGCGGAGCAAACTTACTGCTCCCAGGCACTGCAACTGTGGCTTCTAATGGGGATGTGACACCAGTGATGGTCTGCTTCGGGGCCTAAGGCTTGTAGCAGTCTCCTTGGATTCGAGAGTTGCCCCCACAATACGTCCAGGTGGCTCTCTGCCTCAGTCTAGAAGTGCAGTGGTGGGGTATTAGGGGTCAGGGAGATCCTCTCGTTCCCAATCATGCACAGGTCCTGGTGGACAGCGTGAATTCCCCTGGGGCTCTCACTCACTCACCCTTTCCTATGTTGAACAGAATCTCCTGGCTCCACGCTGAGCTCAGACAGGCTGGTTCCTGGATTCCTTCCTCTCTGATCTCTGTGCTCCCCTCCCGCCTTGATGGAACCCAGTGTAATTTCTCAGATGTTTGATCGGTGTGCAGTGTCAGTGTTTTTCAGTTTTATCTTCTTTTTTTTCATTTTTTCGTTGTTATTTTCTTTTTTGTATTCATTTTTCTCAGATGTTTGATCGGTGTGCAGTGTCAGTGTTCATTACCCCTTCTATTTCTTCTCATGTGTACAGCGGTATACAGGAGCTGCTTCTAGTCCGGTATCTTGGTTGGCCCCACCCTTCCAAAGGTTTATAGGGTTATAATATGCAGTGCTGTTGATAGCAGGTGGAAATGAGCACTTTACCCATATGCTTTGGGGAATGTAAGTGGCTATAATACCAGTAACAGCAATTTGGCAATATTTATTAAAGCTTCAAAGTTTCATTCCCTTTCTCCCTTCTGCACATCCATTTTAGACAGTAACGAATGCACATGAGCACAAAATCTTGTACAGGGATATTAGAGTCTGTAATGGTCCAGATTAAATACAACCGAAATGCTCAGCAATAAGGGAAAGGTTTACTCCATCACAGTACAGTCCTACTTAGGAATACTAGAAAATGGGTAAAAAGAGTGACATAGATACACATATGCGGAGATGGAAAGAATTTAAGACGTATTGTTAAGTAAAAAGAAACAAAGTATAAAACAGTATGTATAGTATAATAACAATGTAGTGGGGAACCTCACAAAGCAAAATTTCTGTATGTGAAGCAGGATAGACTTCAAATTTATAAAAGCTCAGACATTGAGAAGAGGAGTATTGGAGTTAGAGGTTAATGAGGGTTCTTGATTTATATGTGTTACTTGCAGTTTTGTGTAAGAAATTACTTGAGTACCTTTGTTTTTGTTTGTTTGTTTGAAATGGAGACTTGCTCTGTCACCCAGGCTGGAGTGCAGTGGTGCCATCTCAGCTCACTGCAACCTCCACCCCCAGGGTTCAAGGGATTCTTTTGCCTCAGCCTCCCAAATAGCTGGGATTACAGGTGCCCGCCACCACGCTTGGTTAATTTTTGTATTTTTAGTAGAGACGGGGTTTCACCATCTTGGCCAGGCTGATCTTGAACTCCTGACTTCATGATCCACCCGCCTTGGCCTCCCAAAGTGCTGGGATTACAGGCGTGAGCCACCGCGCCCAGCCGAGTACCTTTGTTTTTAAAAGATAAAAAAGTCAGTAAAGGCTTGTCAACAAATAGAGCCAAGGTAGTTAGCTAAAATATGTTTTAAAAGATTTACGGTATCTAAAAATCCAATCAAAATATTTAAATGCATAAAAAGCTAGGAAAGTGTCATGATGCACAAAAAATTAACAACATCTGCAAAGCGATTACTAGAAATACTCATTTTGATCATTTCTTTGTTTCGGCTGATTCATCTCCAATTGTGCTATGCTCTGTGTCAGTTCTTTTATAAAGATTAAGTCATTTAAGCTTCGTGAAAGTCTTGTCAGTATTTGCTATAAGACTTATTTTACAGACAATAAAACAAACAGAGGAGCCATGTGAGGTTAGGGAATGAAGTTGTGAATTCAGGCCCACCTGTATGAATTCAGAGCCCAGATTCTTTCTACTACTGTCCATCACATTGCTATCTTTATTTTCTTGATAAAACATAAAGTACAACTTACTGTGTGGAAGTCATAAGACTTTTCTCCGAAGAGCCTGTTAGCAGTTTTAAGCAAGTACTGAGTACCAGTTCTGTTAATTTCAGCAAGAAGTGACTGAAAACCTTGGTGAATATCTCCATCTTCACCTCCAATTTTACTAAAAGAGAGTGCCTGAAATTTTTAAAAACAAATAAAATTTTCAGTATTCCCTGACATCAAAAATAGGCACAATGCTAAATTCAACATTAAGAGATTTATAGATCCTTACTAGAGCATAAAAGATGATTAATCTAATTTATATGATTTGGCTATGTCTCCCCCCAAAATCTCATCTTGAATTATAATCCCCATAATCCTCACATGTTAAGGGTGAGACCAGGTGGAGGTAATTGGTCATGGGGGCAGTTTCCTCCATGCTGTTCTCATGATAGTAAGTGAGTCTCTCAAGAGCTGATGGTTTTATAAGTGTCGGGCATTTCCCCAGCTTGCACTCACTCCATCCTGCTACCCTGTGAAGAAGGTGCCTCCTTCTCCTTTGCCTTCTGCCATGATTGTAGGTTTCCTGAGGCCTCCCCAGCAATGTGGAACTGTGAGTTAATTAAAACTCTTTCCTTTATAAATTACCCAATCTCAGGTATTGCTTTATAGCAGTATGAGAATGTACTATTACACTAATTAAAGATAGAAAGTGGGTTGACATCCACCCATTCTCCCTACCTATAGCTCTTCTTAAGCTTCCCTATAATCACTTCCTATGTAAAATCAATATTTTTGCAAACCCTAACAAAATGATTCAGGTTACTTAAACGCTCACTGTTTGTGGTACTTTGTCTAAAAACACAGCTGCCAAACATGTGTTCTGTCTCTGCATACACATGGTGCTCCTGACACCAAAAGATGGAGTCTCCCTCCCCTTTGTTAGGATCTGGGATGGCCCCATGACTTACTTTTAACAAGAGAATGCAGATGTAGCTCTGTTCTAAGCCTAGACCTTAAAAAGCCTGGCAGCTTCCACTTTGACTCTCTTATAACCCAGCTACCATGATGTAAGGATGCACAAGCTTCCCTAAGGAAAGGCCATGTGGAAGGGCTCTGGAGGAATGAAAAGACTTGCTTGTAGGGTACTCCCGACCCCAGCCACCAAGTAGCACCAAGGCCCAGATATGTGAGACCTTCTTGGACCTTCTAGACCAGCATTACTGATAAATTAGTAGCATTTATTTTTGTCTTGAAGTGGCTCTAAGTACCTGAGACATCTGGGCTGCAGTGTTTCCCTTCGCTCCCATGAAGACCATGGCCAAGGCTGACGACATGCTCATGGGTGAAAAAAATATGTTGTTTGAGTTGTTTTCCCCTAGCTTTTTCAAAAGGTTTAATGCAAAGGTGCCGTTTGCTTCTGATAGAGCGTCCATGACAGTGAGCCTGAAACAATGGATTTTAAAACAATTTTACATCAATATGGGCTTACTATGTATTGCATTTTCACTTTATTTATTAATAGAGTGGATACTTTTCCTCAGTGAACAAATAGGTACACATACAAAAACTAAAATGGGGCTTTTGATGCGTAATTTCATTTGATCTGTACAACCTGATGGGGTCGGTGCAGCGAATATTTGCATTTTACAAGCAAATAAATGGAGTCTTCACTGTGTTGGTATCTTGCCTCTGAGGATACCCAGCTACAAACAGCAAGGCAAGGATTAGCAACCAGGTCTGTGGTTGCTGAGGAACGCTGTAGATCTAGGGTTCCTCTTAGTCTCTTAATCAGCATGGTACAAGGTTTTTTTTTTTTTTTCTTTTTTTTTTTTTTTTTGGAAAAAGCAGAAAGCAAGTTAAAGCTATCTTTTTAAAACATGAAATTCATAAGTACAAAAACTATTAATTTCCAGCACTGGTAAAATAGGTATTCCTTCCTGTACTCTACAACTGATTATGTAAATATTTTCAGAGTGTAATTTAGAATTATATTTTAAAAAGGAAGGAAGGGAGGGAAGGAGGAAGGATAGAAAGAAGAAAATGCCAAGAAAATATTTATACATTCAGAATAAAAAAAATTCATTTCAAAGAATTTCACTGAAAGTAAAACTCACATGTACTGATAAGAAACGTTTTGCAGAAAGATGACTAGTGAAGCACTTCATATGCTACAGAGATAATCTTTAAATGGCCAACAATAGAGAACCAGTTAGATTCTGTCATATCTGTGATTGAATATAAATGAAGATTAATGTTAAGTGTAAATTAGAAATAAAGTTACATATAATTCACAAATAGACTGGAAAGAAATACTGAATATCAAATACTTCTGGGCAATGGGTAATTTTGATGTTAGTTATGTTCTCCTGTATTTTTGCATCTTCTGCAATGTGTGTATATTCTTTTTAGTGTGATTTAGTCAGATTTGCTCTTTATGAAATTAATGAACTGGCACTTAGTTGTAAAGTCAAATAATTCTAGGAGAGACATTATACAAATCAAGAGGCACCTTCCCATTCCTCCAACTTCCTAGAAGCAATCAATCACAAGTCAGCTTGCTCTTTCTCCTGGCATTTACCTCCATGTTTAGCTATAATAGGTGTATACTACTGTTTTTGACCTAACAATTTTAGACATCATCTATTGCCTTCCTAATTTAGGGAATTACATCCCTTACTTCAGTCACTGCACTTCACCTCCTCTATCCAAGTGTTTGCTTTAGTGCAATTAAATAGTATTCATAGCTAAGCCAAGTAGTGAACAATTAATCCATTTCTCTTCTCACATAACTCTGTTTTTCCTTATGTTAATATTTCTTCCACCTCACCTTCTTTGTCTTTTATATATAGCAAATTTGTCCCCAAGTGTTCCACCAATCAGTCAAACCTTTTCAGTAATTTCTTCATATGCTCAACCACATATGAATAATCTCAGTCCCACTGCTCGTCTCCCACAGTCTCTCATCCTGCTGGTGTGCAGGTTTCTTTAATCTGTAGGATTTTCATTCCCAAAGCAGAATTTTCATAAGCAGAGAATAACTTTCCCTACTACTATACTTTAGTTAGTGGCCAACTTATTGTCCATTTGGTAAACATAAACTTTTACTTTAAACTTTAAAGCACACTACTAACACAGCAAATAAAATATTTTTAAACTTTTAAACTTAAGTTTAAAAGTTTAAAAATAAAATAAAAGCTTTTCTAGGGCCATACCAGTGACAAAACTGAGATAGATATTCCATTTTGGTTTCTAAATATATTATGATGTAAATTACATTGGTATTTAAATACGTTACATACCTTTCTTTTCTAAACATTCTTGCATTCAGAGGCTGTCTGCTGGGCTGTAATTGTATTACCCTTCTCTTTCATAATTCCAATGTGTTGCATCTATTGCTATTAATCACTCACATTGCTGACTATTCCTTTCTAAACTCACTTCTCTTTAGTGTGCAGCATCCCTGTCTCATCTAAGACAGCCCTTTGCCAATGTCCTTTGTTTTGAACCCTAATGCCTTTTCTGCTTCATTGCTTATTCCTTTGTTTGGCTAGAACAATAGTTTTCTAAGACAGAATACATACATTTTGATTTATTGCATATCTGAAAATATTTATATTCTACTATTAGATACTATTGATTGTTCGGCTGGGACCAAATACAAATGTTACTTTTCACATCAGTCTTATAAATCACAACAGGGAGGAGACAGCTCTGGGTCACATTCCTGTCATCAGACACAATTAGACCCCAGAAGCAAGAGGACCCTCATCTGACCCAGTTTCCCCCCAGCATCTAAGTACGCCTGACAGCATCTGAATATTAATTTTCTATAAGTTCTGTTTTCCAAGCTTACTTTTTTTTTTATTATTATACTTTAAGTTCTAGGATACATGTGCACAACGTGCAGGTTTGTTACATATGTATACATATGCCATGTTGGTGTGCTGCACCCATTAACTCGTCATTTACATTAGGTATATCTCCTAATGCTATCCCTCCCCCCTCCCCCACCCCACAACAGGCCCCTGTGTGTGATGTTCCCCTTCCTGTGTCCTAGTGTTCTCATTGTTCAATTCCCACCTATGAGTGAGAACATGTGGTATTTGGGTTTTTATCCTTGATTCTCACCAAACTTGGTTTTAAAGGGTAGTGGGAGGAGAAAAGGAAGTAACGTAAGTGGCAATATGATCTAATACAACAAAATTAAAATATGATTAAAAGGCCCCCATCGTCTTACCTTAAGGACAATGATTTTTTAAATATTTTATACTGTCAGTGAATGTAATAAAAACAAGATCTGGAATGTCCCTCACGATGATCTTTGCAGGCCTGCACACTCAAAAGTGCTGTGGTGTTGGCCAAACTCTGGGGGTCAGAGAGGGCTGTGAAACCCGTGCGCTCATTCTTGGAAAAGGCGCTGGGGTAGGCACAGGGTCCAGGCTGCCTTTGGGACCCACCCCTAGTTCTCTCTCGAGGGTCTTCGGTACCCTCAGAAATTCCCAACGCACTGCTCTCTGCGGCATCACCTATGGCCAAGGGGCCCTCAGCTATGGCACCAACATTCTGCAACGCCCCCATCCCACAGGTGGCCCATCTCCTGGACCCTGGAGGTGCGCGCTCCCAGGGTCCCGCGCTCCCAGGGTCCTAGTGTTCTGAGGCATCACAGCCCCCTCCCACCCCAAAGAGTACTTCACCAGAGAGGATCGCGGGGAGTCATTTTCCGCACCCCCGCTTCCCAGCTCCTGCGTGCTGTGCTGAGCTGAGCTGAGCCTGGAGGCTCATCCCCCAGCTCCACGCGATCTCCCCCGACACCCGCCCTGACCACACCAGGATCCACAGGGGTCGCAGCCAGGCGCAGCCACGCCCCTGCCCTCGGGGAGGCCCCGACCCGAGACCAAGTGAAAGAGGGGAGCCCCGGGACGGAGCTCAGGGAACTTTGCCAGGTTCCGCTTTCCCGGGCTCCTACCGTTTCCTGGGCGCGGGAGCGGATAACCCGATGCCTGCTTGTGGGAGCCGCTCCCAAAGCTAGACACGTACCGCCGTTGTGGGCACCGTTGCCCAGGAGCGAGGGGAGGCCGGTGGTAGTGACGGGAATAGAGGTGTCTGGGAGGCGCAGAGTATCAGATCCTAGTGAGTGGGGAGGCGGGCGCAGTCGGGACCCGAGCAGGCACCACCCAGCAGGCGCGTGGGCAGGAGGGCGGGGCGGGTCCCGCAGGCGGAGGGGATTTCCTGGTGTGCAGGAAGCGGCCGCTCGCTGTGCAGAAAAAAAGCCCCTACTCTCCGGGAGCTTTCAATCAAGAAGTGATAATCCACCCCGCACCCCACCCCGAGTTAAGGTGTCTTTGTAGTGAACTGTGAATCATAATTTCAGGGACCAGAAGAATGCCAATTCCTGGTACATAGATAGATGTAAGGTGCACACTGCCTTACAGAAATTTAAAATGAACCATCTATGTAGGGGTCTTGTGATAAGAATTAGATAAGAATTAGACTTTGGGGATTTGACAAGTTATAGAAATTAGTGTGAAACCTTATTTCCCATTTTGGAGCAGTCATGGGGAACAGAAAGGTTTCAGGTGACTGGGGGTGGGGAGAGGGCTAGCCAGATTTTTATTATTTATTTATTATTTATTTTTATTAATAGATAATAACTGACATCGTTTTAGGGTGCATAATTTAATACATTCATATAATTTGTAAATATGAAATCAGTGTTATTGGGGCTTCCAACATCTTAAATATTTGTCTTTATGCAGAAACATTCAAATTACTCTCTTCTAGTTATTTTGAAACATAAAAGATATATTGTAAATACTTATGTGTAATATATGTGTATATGTAATTATAATAAATATACAAAATACAATATTTTGAAATTGTAAACTATTTTCACTCTACTGATCTGTTAGACACTAGGTCTTAGCTTCTATGAAATTGTATATTTGTACCCATTAATCAATCTCTCTTCAACACTCCGTTCCCTCTACCCTTGCTCACCTCTGGAAAGCTTCAGTCTACTTTCTATCTTCATGAGATCCACTTTTTTAGCTCCCACCTATAAGCGAGAACATGCAGTATTTGTCTTTCCGTACTTGGGTTATTAACACTTAACTTTATGACCTCTAGTTCCATCTATGTTGTTGCAAATGATAGAACTTATTTCATTCTTTTCTATGCTGAATAATATTCCATTGTGTGTATATATCACATTTTCTTTATCCATTCATCCATTGATGGGCGCTCAGGTTGGTTCCATATTTTCTCTATTGTGAATAGTGCTGCAATAAACATGGAAGCATGGGAGTGCAGATATTCCTCAATACAGTGATATCCTTTCTTTTAGATCTATACCCAGCAGTGGAATTGATGGTAATATGACAGCTCTATTTTTAGGATTTTGCAAAACCTCCATAGAGTTTTCTATAGCGGCTGTACTAATAGACATTCCCACTAAGAGGGTTTCCATTTCTCTACATTCTCACCAGCATTTCATTATTTTATTATTCCTTTTTGTTTTCTTTCTTTCTTCTTCTTCTTTTTTTTTTTCTTTTTTTTCTTTTTTTGACAGTTTTGCTCTTGTTGCTCAGGTTGCAGTGCAGTGGCGTGATCTCAGCTCACTGCAACCTCCACCTCCCAGGTTCAAGTGATTCTCCTGCCTCAGCCTCCCAAGTAGCTGGGATTACAGGCATGTGCCACCACGCCTGGCTAATTTTGTATGTCTATTAGAGACAGGGTTTCACCATGTTGGTCAGGCTGGTATTTAACTCCTGACCTCAGGTGATCCACCCACCTCGGCCTCCCAAAATGCTGGATTACAGGTGTGGGCCACCACGCCTGGCCCCTCATCATTTTCATACAAGCCATTTTAACTGGAATGAGATGATAGCTCATTGTGGTTTTAATCTGCATTTCTCTGATGATTAGTGATGTTGAACACTTTTTCATATACCCATTGGCTATTTGTATGTCTTCTTTTGAGAAATCTCTGTTCCGATCTTTTGCCCATTTTTTAAATCATTTTTTTTTTTTTGCTGTTAAATTGTTTGAGATTCTTATATATTCAGCTTATTAATCCCTTGTCAGATGGATAGTTTGGAAAAATGTTCTCCCACTCTGTGCGTTATCTCTTCCTTTTGTTGATTGTTTATTTTGCTATGCAGAAGCTTTTTAGCTTGTTGTAATCCCAATTGTCTATTTTTGTTTTGGTTTTCTGTGCTTTTGAGCCCTTGCACATAAAAAAAAAAAAATACTTTGCCTAGACCAATGTCCTGGAGCATTTCCTCAGTGTTTTCTTCTAGTAGTTTCATAGTGTCAGGTCGTAGATTGAAGTCTTTCATTCATTTTGATTTGTTTGTTGTATATATTGAGAGATAGGAGTCTAGTTTCATTCTTCTGACAATGGTTATCCAGTTTTCAGAGCACCATTCATTGAAGACTGTATTTTCCCCATTTTATGTTCCTGGCATCTTTGTCAAAAATGAGTTTGCTGCAAATATGTGTATTTATATCTGGGTTCTCTACTGTGCTCAATTGGTCTATGTGTTTTTATGCTGGACTATACTGATTTGCTTAGTATAGCTTTGTAGTATATTTTGAAATCAGGTAGTTTGATGCCTCCAGCTTTGTTTTCTTTGCTCAGGATTGCTTTGGCTATTTGGGGTCTTCTGTTGTTCCCCACGAATTGTGGGATTGTTTTTTTCTATTTCTATGAAGAATAACATTGGTATTTTGATAGGGATTGCACCAAATCAGTAAATTGCTTTTGGGTGGTAATTTTAACAACATTAATTCTTCCAATCCATGATGTTGAAGAGTATGAATATCTTTCTAGTTTTTCTGAGTCCTCTTCAATTTTTTTCATGAATGTTTTATAGTTTATCTTGTAGAAATCTTTTACTTCTTTGGTTAAATTGATTATCAGGTGTTTCATATTTTATATTTTTTGTAGCTATTGTAAGTGGTATTCCATTCTTGGTTTCTTTTTCTGATTTTTCACTGTTGTTGTATAAAAATCTCACTGATTTTTGTAAGCCAATTTTGTATCCTCCAGCTTCACTGCTTCATTGATCAGTTTTAACAGATATTTGGCGGAGTCTTTAGGTTTTTCTAAGATTATGTCATGTGCAAACAAAACTAATTTGAGTTTTTCCTTTCCAGTTTGGCTGCCTTTATACTTCTTTCTCTTGCCTAATTGCTCTGGCCAGGACTTCCAGTAAGGTATTAAATAAAGTGAGTGAAATTAGGCATCCTTGTCTTGTTGCAGATCTTATTGAAATGTTTTCAATTTTTCCCCATTCAGTACGATATTAATTGTGGATTTGTCATCTATAGCCTTTATTATTTTGAGGTATATTTGTTCTATACCCAGTTTGTTGAGGGCTTCTATCATAAAGGGATGTAGAATTATAGGAAGTACTTTTTTAGCATCTATTGAAATAATCATATAGTTTTTGTTTTTGGCTCTGTTAATGAGCCGTATTGCATGTATTGATTCATGCACATTCAACCATCTTTGCATACCCAGGATGAATCTCACCAAGGAAAGCTTTCCCAGAACTCTCCAGTTTGGTAATTCTACTTTAAAAAATCCCCATGCCCATTTTGCACTTCAACCCAGTTAAATCTTAGGAAATGGAATTGGGCAGCAATAATTTATAAAGCTCTCCAGGTGATTTCAGTGTGGAATCCTAAAAGTAACTGTTCCCAAGAACATCTCCTCAGTAGTCTTGATGCAGGATTCACCCACATCTTTTCTCCATGATTCTGAAAAGCCCTCTCTGTAGTAGCTAAAGACTCACATTTGAACTGTGCCCAAACTTTCCTGCTCTTACAATTGGAAAATGCCAATATCACTTCCCAGTTGTGTACCAATTACTCCTTGTTGTTCAGATCTAGCTCCAGACTTTGGGCCCAACTTCATTCATCCACTCCTTTTTCTCCTTGACCAGCTCAACAAGTTAAAATATGATAAATACTTTTATCTTATTCCCACTGCCTAGTTGTTTCAAAGTTGTTTATTAAGGACATAATTTGGTAACTGAGAGTTTCATTATAAACACAAGTGTCCCAGGGAAGGAAAAATAGTGCATGCAAGTGCAGAGAGGGCTGAGATGGCACCATGATGTTGGATAACTGTGACCATTTCAGGCCTTCAGTGGCACAGACAATTGGAATGAGGCACCACAGAAAAGCCTCTGTTGTGTCCACAGGAGCAGGTCATGAAGGGCCATGTCAACTCTAGGGGGAGTTTCTTCATTCCCTGTGGACAATGGGAAATCACTAAAATATTTTAAGCTGAGGAGAAACATAGTCCTATTTGTATTTTACAAAGATTCCTTTGACTGCATCATGGAAGATATTGTAGGAGGCTGCCATCGCATATAATGAGGTGTTAGGGGGACACAGCATGGGTGAGAGATGAGGGAAGCTGAAATGAGGCAGAGTCAAGGGAAATGGAGAGGAGGGATTTCTAGGACATAGATTAGGCATCACTTCTTGGTCCATGAAAGGAGGAGGGGGTGGGAAGTATCAAAGATGAATCCAAGAAAGAATGAAACTAATTTTTGTAATAGTGCAATGAAATGTGAAAATGGTCAGTCTTCCTAAGTGAGAAATCTGTCTGCAAATCTATATTTATGAGGATTAATTATATTTATTTTCTGAGTATGGACAATTTAAACGCTGGGCCCTAAAGGGGAACCCATCCCTCTAGGTAACTAGAGCCTAATTTCAGACAACCTGAACAAGATCTCCACTCACAAACCTTCTTCCTGCCCCAGTAGGGTGGTGACAGGTACCTGTTAAGAAGGTTCTGGACTATATCATTCAGTGTCTCAGAAACTGTGCTCAGCTTCATCTTCTGTCTTCTAGCCTCATACCTAATTTTCATCTCTTCAGTTAGTACTGGGGAGTATCTGCTGGTTCTCAACTACTGACTCAACCTTAACCTAGTTTTGTCTGACTCCCTTGGCTCCGGACTTTGTGGACCTCAGGAAGGGCACACTCCTAGGTTAGTCTCAGGTTGAGCTACCAGCGTCTACAAATTAGACTTCCACTTGTCAAGAGGGAACTAGAGTCCAAATGTAGTTAGAACTTCCCAGCATGGTTTGAGGTCTCTGTGCTTCTTATTGTTAAATGAACAAATGCTCCACCTTAAAGAGGCTCCTGGGCCTTAAAAATGTTTCCACTCAGTGACTGACCATATTCACCAGCAACAGCCACTCCTTATACACCCTGCTGCACCTTTCAGTTTCCTCATGAGATTTCCAGCAAGCCTTCATGGTTTTGAGGAAGTGGGAGGTAAAAACAAAAAAACAAAAAACCCCACTTGCTTCTGATAATCAAGTCCAGAGACACGGAGAAAAATGTAAGCATTAGAAAGACTCATATTGTGGCTGCTACGTTTACAGAGAAGGATGGTGAAATAGAGGTAGTTTGTGTGATTTGCCAAGAGTCCCATGAGGAATTCATGGAAGAAGTGAGACCAGAGTCTGTGTGGCCACATTCCCAGAGCACTGCTTTTTCTGCCATACTCTGCAGCAATATTATAATATTGTTATAATACAACTGAAGAATGTTCCACATATTCAGTGATATAAGAGAATTTTAAT